TATGAGCCTATTCACCGTTGCCTATTCACCTTTTCAAAACATAAAGCTACCTCCATTTGTTTTATTAGTACATATTGTATTTGTTTGTTAAAATAATTAAGATTTATGACTTAAGACTTTTGCTATAGCTGACTTGTGACGTGTTATTTTGAAATAATTAAAAAAGTCATTCAAATTAAACTCTTACTGAATGAAATAATAAGTACCTTTTTAGAAATAACTTTTAATACTATTTTCATTTGTACAATACATGGAGTTAGTATAAGAACACTAGCAGTACGTAGTTGGGCTCTATAAACACAAACGCATTGGGTATTCCAAGTAAAACGAATCTAAATTTGGATGTTTCATTTAATGTAACATCGGTTAATAGCGCGATATTGGGAACGCGTGCGCATGCGCAGGTTCAGTGGTCATTACCCTTTTCAATTTTTATAATGTGTGATTTTTAATCCCCAGTTGCCGCTCTATCTTGGGATATACGCTGATGATGACGCCCTCAATGGTCTAACTGTTTCGCATACCGCTTTACTTCCGATGATCGCAAGTTCGATTTCTCTCACTGTGCGAACGTTTGTATTCATGAGTATGAATATTTTTATCGGTCTGTGTGTTTTATATGTATACTATGTATTTACAAAAAAAAAACTATATATTTATATCAGTTGTCTAGTATCCACATAATAACACAAGCTCTGTTTACCATAGGACTAGATGGTTATTTGTTTATTTATTATAGATTGGTGTTCCTTGTCATCAGTCTAAATTACTCTCTCTCTCTCTCTCTAGTAATGTACCATGTCAGGTTGATCCTCATCTGACCTCCACCCTGTTCCCCCGGGAGACCATCGTAATGACCTGGTGAAAGCTGCGATGGGCTAACTGATCTGCCCTCATGCTCATCTTATCAACCTACACTTGTTACCTTCAGCTCTCCATCAGCATCCATTAAAAAAATTTAAAAGCGAATGAAGTCTGTTTTATTCTTATCCTGTACTGTCCTATTTTTATTAAACTATTTAAATATCTATTTCATTTTGTTCCTACCGACTGCTAAAAGGAGTAGTGCAGCGTAAGCAGTTACCGCAGGCGGGTGCGCCATTCCATTATCACTTTTACGACATGTGGTCTAGATCTAGTATTCCTGCTTGATCATCATTCTGTGAATCATTCGTTTTTAAAAGTGTTAAATTACTTTTTCTATGTAATATAAATACTTAATGATACAATATCACGTAATAAATATACCCCACCCCACAACACCCCGCTACATAATGAACACGACCGTTCTGTCAAGAATATATCGAATGAGAAGAAGAAAATACCTTCACAATTTGGTTTGTTATCGCAGATGGAGTAATAATAATAGTAAACTTGGACAATTCACACAACGCCATCTAGTTCTAAGTTAAGCAGAATTTGTGTTATGTGTACTAGACCAGTGATATAAATACTACAGTGACATAGATACATCTTTTTGTAAATACATACATAATTTATACATAGATCAACGAGACTCATGATTACAAATGTTTGTATAGTACGAGGAACCGAATCCGCGACCATTAGAAGCAAAAGGAGGTGCTAAACCATAAGACGAACTGTCGAATTGTCATCAGTAGACGTCCTACTCAGAGATCTACAGTCATCTCTCGGATTAACTTAGGTTTACCAGTTACCGATATTTCTATCGCCAGAGAATCAGTCAGAAATATAAACATAGCGAATACAAAAAAATTGCTAATACAAAGCTTTTTGGAGAGATTCTAATATAAAGTTTATTATTAAATATGCGATATGTAACAAGTACAAAGATATACGTATATAAATTCCTGCGGTTTATCTATACGTATTAATAAAATTGGAGTGTCTGTTTGTAATATTGAAATAACCGTTTTTTTACTACATGCATATGAATATAAATACGGTACATACACCAAACTAACATTTTTTACAATTTGTCTGTCTGAATGTCTATATGTTTGTTCCGGCTAATCTCTGAAATGGCTGGACCGATTTTGACGGGACTTTTTTTGGCAGGTAGCTGATGTAATAAGGAGTAACTTAGGCTACTTTTATTTTAGAAAAATAAAGTTAAATCCCACGCGGACGACGTCGCGAGTACAGCTAGTATAAAATAAACTTTGTATATTAATGATATTCTTTTTTTTTAGAAAAAAACATTTTTTTTAGGAAAATAGTGTTAAATTCCACGCGGATGACGTCGCATATACAGCTAGTTCTAAATAAAATAAAATATAGTAGGTATTATGACATCATAGCGGATTATGTACTCACATTCCTTAAAGCATAAACAAAATGACACACATATAAATGTCTCTTAACACTTAACCGTCATTTATTATAATATAGTGCAAGTGTCAACTTATAACTCGACACCTATTGACCCTTAACGTATTAGATTTTAGAGTTCTGTATTCAATATTCCTAATCCACAAGTTACTGTAGCGCACTTACTTACAGCGAGGTTACCCTAGAGCTAGCTACTTTACCTAGAAAATAAGTACTAATAAAAATTCAAAAAAGGAACGCTCGATCGGTTCACAAATGGAACGCTGCTTCCTCCCAATCGAACCCCCGTCCTATTCAAAAAGAATCGAAATTACCGTCCTCTTTAAACTGAGGGCCCAAAAGTTGTATCGAAATATAAGGAAATAATAAGGATGACCCCCGTCCTATTCAAAAAGAATCGAAAATAATAATAATAATAATCGACAATTCACACAGCGCCATCTATACCCAATTTAAGGTTAAAGTTGTGTTATTAAATAACGATATTTTTTTTCGTAAATACCTACATATTATACATAGAAAACACCCAGGACTAATCATAATAATGTTTGTGCTGAGGGCGACCATCGGACCTAAAGCGGTATTCTAAACCGCTAGACCACGGTAGGTTGTCTAAAAAACTTATTTGTGAGATTACCTCTTGGCTGTGAGTAGTAAACCACTATGCTACTACTCTATCAATAAAAATATTTCACAATCTTTTTAATATTCTATTTAAACGGAACCCAATATATATAGTTATACTGGCACTTGATATTTTTTCTACAATGGCTGCTCTATGCAAAAAATGTTTAGGTCCATTCTTACGGGTACTTGAAGTCGTAAATATATATTTACGACTTCAAGTGCCCTGTCCCCTCAAAGTTAGAGTCTACAATCCAAATACAATTTCAAGGAATAAAAACTAAAATACTTAACACAAGTGTTCGGAGTGTTTATTCCTTTAAAGCAATCGAGAGAACGTTGGAGTAATTAGAAAAAAAACTAGGATTAATAATTTTATGGTAAATATAGGTATTTATCTCTCTTGACGATTCGTCTAGGTTCCACTAGCCATGACCACGAGCTGACTGGATTAAAGACCTACAGATAAAGAGATAAAAACCACTCCTAAGAATTTTCTTCAATTCTTATACCTCACGGGTCTACGTAGTGAACTTAATATCAGGTCGCAGTGTTACGGGTCTTAGCACCTGACAATGTCAAAGTCTGTGTATCAGTTTTTTAACTTTGCACTACAAAACTGCTGAATGAATCTTAATTAAATTTGATAGTATAATAATAATAATTATTATTATTAAGATTGTATCCCAAGGATCAACATAGGCAATCTTTTAACTCAAAAAAGTAAACAAAGTCGCGGTTAATTGTTAGTATATTGTAACATTGACGCAGTTGACTCAGGTTCAGTTCTTTAGGTACTCTATAATGTAATAAGTGTACATTCGCTGCCAGTTCATTATATTTCAGACATATGATTGATAGGTGCAATTAATTTCTTACAATATCTCAATCTTATAATGACTGTTACCACAATTAATTCAGCAATAAGTTCTGTAATCGCTATTTGTATGGGAGTGGACGAGAGCATTTCGATACCATTAGTAAATTTAGAGTAACATGGTAGAGAGGCTGAACGAAAATATTGCGCTCTGTATCCCGGCGGTCGGGTGCGCCCACATGTTCCAAACTAGTGATGTGAACGGTCCACAATAATTACAATCGATAAAAATGTCGATATTTGTTGATTTTATCGAAATTAACAAACTGCGGCAGAGTATAAAGGATCTTGTGTACTCTGTCTCATATATTTCATATTGCTTTGTAAGATGTGTTTTAATTGAAAATTAAGATATAGCGTTGAAATGGCAAGGTTGAAGAGGTGATATCTTAATTCATGATATCTTAATTCTCCGGAATGGCAACGCATGAGTGATATCACGGACGTCATATGATGATGTGATGTTCATGTTGCTGTTCAGGCAACGGTTAGTATTTAGGTACCATAACATGGGTAGCTTATTTTCCATTACAGTTGAATAAATAAACTGACATAAAAATGATGAGGTTTTTAATTGGACAATATAAGTTCATGTATTCATTCTGCAATTAAATATTCTTAGCAAAGACTTAAAAAGTCTTAGACTAGTAATCTTAGACTTTAACTTAAAAAGTTTGTAAATTAAAGCTGGCTTAAAACGGCTCTATCTGTAAATATAAAGTTATAAAATTGAGGATTGGAAATTTTGAGTATTTTTTTTAACTTATGTTAAATGTGATATCTTTACAAATAGTATACCTATTCTAAACATTCACTTTGCAATCATTATATAATTTATATACTGTTTTAAATTTGACGCGGTTATTATTTATTAATGTAATTACGGGACCTTACCACGTTTCATTTTTATTGAGTTCCCGATGTTCATTACAATTTAGCACAAAGGTGAAAGTAAATAGATGTCATGAATATAAATATATTTCGTGTTAATTTTTAACTTGTATATTATTTATTATTTTTTTTATTTGTTAATTGTTGCTAATTATTTCTATTTAATATAACTTTTACTTGTTAATTGAGCATTACAAATAAGTTAACATTTATCTCGATATCCTTCTGTAACAACTCGATAATTATAAAAATATAATAAACAAACACCATCCTTATTCCCGGTCGGGCGTCTTAAGGAGCGGCAGCTAGTCACAGTGTAGCCGGCGCGCGCGCATCCCGAACACCAGCGCGATCCAAAAATACCGACCTACACGGCCCGGCCGCATTAGCTTGACATGGGCTGACCGCGCTCTGTTTCTTCTGTACAAACAAATTTTCAATAATTTCAACGAAATTCCAAATTCGAAACGATCTTAATTTGAAACATTCCAAATTTGAAACGATTCTAAATTTGAAATCCGCCAGTGTTGTGCCGTTTTGAGTGGTTTCCGCGAGGCCGATGCGGCGATGTCGCCGACTGCTATCGGTACTGACTTACCGCAATGGTGCGGTAAGACAGAGAGCTGCCCGCAAGCTCTACTCGGCTGGCTTTACTTGACTCACGACCAGAATGATCAGGTAAGAATTTCACATCACTATTATAGCTAAAAACACTGTATTCCTATGATTACATTGACTTCTAGTCGCAGAGCATCCGCGTACTTACATGTGATGGAGTCTATTTTTAGGTTTACAATTCTACAAAAAGATACAATTGAACCGGTATGGTGAAACTTCCGTTCGTTTTCATTTTATATGTGTAAACACTAGTGACCGTTTGTAATAAATGTATATAAAGTACCGTAGAACCTAAACTTTTGGAGAACTATTAATATTTTCTGTTTTTAAATATTTCCTTAAAGTGAATTCGTGTTTTGAGCCTTAGCTAATTGCGTTTTTTATAGATTTTTATATAAATGGAATGCAAACAAACTGACAGCCAAACTGGTGGTAAGTGGTAATCGTCGCGTACAATGGAACAAATTTTCTATAATTTCAACGAAATTCCAAATTCGAAACCAATCCTTATTTGAAATGTAATTGAAACGTAAATCGGTTTATCATGGACGCCTGCAAAACACGCTTGTATTATCATTTAGGAGAACTAAGATACCTCCGTACCCAATAATTTCGCTGCCATATCTCACCCTTTAACTGACATACAGTTTACAACGAAGCTGCTTTGTGCAGAAATGAGTAAAACAGGAACAGATGTGGGTTCCTGTTTTACTCATGTTACATGTACTGTTTCACCTATAAGGCAGACAAGTTTGTACGAGTCTACCTCTTGTATACCTCTCTGGTCCTTGACGCTGAATTGTTCAGAAGTCAATTCTGAATTCAATTAAGCAAAGAGTGGGCTTCAGGTAGTTGTAGTCTACTACAGCCTTTATTTTATAGCAAATATGCCTTTTGCAAATACATTTGTACAACTGTTATCAGATTCAATACTAAAATAATCTCGAGAGAACTGTACCTTATTGTCAATCTTTTTTAAATAAATTATAATATGTTAGTTGCTGATAATAGATATCTATAGGTCAAAAGAATGTTAATAAACACCAATTAAGTGTAATTTATTCTTTACAAAAAAAATTACAATAGTTTTCATTTAATTTCATTAATACAAGTATCTAAATATTGCATATTAGTAGTATATAACAAAGATATCAAAATATGGGCCAAAAAAGAATTTGAAATTATGAATTCTGTCATAAGCTCAGTGTGCTGATGACAAACATAAAACAAAACAAGGCAATTATTCCTTGTTTTATTTACTTCGGTTAACAAAAGACGACCTTGTGTAGCGTTAGTTGTTCAGACAAGGGATTCTATAATATGTTACGCAAATACTACTTGAATCCTTTTCAGTCCAGGATTTAGGGGGGGGGGGGACAGTGGAACCATGCCCTGGGCGGCATGTTCTGGGAGCGCAAATTCGAACTTATTTAGTATACACAACTCATCATTTTTAACGCACCTTTGACAACTTCATCACTAAGAGATGTAAATCAAATAAGTTGTTCATTGAAAATGAAGATATAACTCTTAATAAAGCCACAATAATTAACAGTAATAGTTATTGGATAAATAGTATGATAATATATAGCATGTTGCAAATATAGTGAAATTGTTGGTCGGAGGGAGGGGGCGGGGGAGTGTTAGTGAGGGCGGCAATTTTTAGTTTGCGCCCCACCTAGAGAAAAAGGGAAATCTGAGGCTGTTAAATCAGCCCCAGATTTCCCTTTTCCTCGAGGTCAGCCCCAGATTTCCCTTTTTCCCGAGGTGTTTAAAGATTGTAGTCAATCGGAAAAATCCGAATTGTATTCTAGAAATTGTTATTTTATTAACCAACAGGTAAGGCGGTTATCTAATTTTAGATTAATAGCTGTACAGTGTTGCCAGTTGACCGTTTTTTCCCTACGTTTTGCTCTAAATTCCAATAAAATTTAAATCCTCAAGAAAAATCTCTGTAATAAAGAATCTCTGTAAGAACGATAATGGTAACTAAACTAAAAATGAACCCGAAAGACGCCGGTAAACTTGTCTACGTTAGATTCAAATACCCAGTGAAATGTGGTTATGTCAAAGCGATGATATTTACTTACAGAACAGCAGGGTATGCAAAACGGTATTATACACACTATAAGAGTAGTGAATATGGTACTTAATTTTTTGTAATACGCTGACCATGAATACAAATTTCATTTTTTAATTCTGAATAAACGTGTCAAAAATGACTAAAACTAAATTTTTTTACATGTTCTCCAATTTTTGTACCATCGTCAAAATCTTCACGCTAATTTGGGGTAAATTCCCAATCTGGCATCACAGTATTTGCAATAAAGTAAAACTGTGTAGCCATCTCCATTGCGCAGACCACGTGTGTAGTTGCTGTACTGTATTTTATTTGTAGAGACTTTACTCAATATGAATAAAATTACATTGCAGTCGTAGAATCGATTTGTAACGTTAATGAATGGTTTGCGTAATATGAATGCAACTGAAACAGCCGAGGTACATAAATAATTGCTATTTATTACGACGCTCATCGGCGTACTTGTGATATAGTAATGCATTTCAGCTCGTAGTATAATATAATAGATTGTGCCCGTGTATGTTAGATAAGTAACTTTATCTAACGTCACGCAGTTATGTAGTGTTTAATACAAATAGTCTTAATAACTAGTGTAAAATTAGAGTAATTTAAGATATAAAGTTAATACACAACTTCCAACCCTGCTGTGTGTTTACTCTCACCACCAATCCTGTCATTGCATACGCGATCATCGATGATCATGATCATTAATGATGACAATTGTTTTAATAATTAAATAATCTTTAATTAATTATAAATTTTGTATGCCTAATGAGGCAAAACATATTGGGACATTATATTACAATAACAATCAATGTAAACCCATGTTTATCGCAAATAAATTTGATTTGATTCGGAAGTAAAGCGGTGTGCTAAACCGTCAGTAAAACATATTGGGACATTATATTACAATAACAATCTATGTAAACCCATGTTTAGCCATATAAATATAAGCGGCTATCGGAAGTAAAGCGGTGTGCTAAACCGATAGAATATCGAGTCTGTCAAATAACCCATATAAATATGATGACCAAATAAATTTGATTTGATTTGATTTGATTCGGAAGTAAAGCGGTGTGCTAAACCGTCAGAAAAACATATTGGGACATTATATTACAATAACAATTAATGTAAATCCATGTTTATCGCAAATAAATTTGATTTGATTTGATTCGGAAGTAAAGCGGTGTGCTAAACTGTCAGACCAACGAAGCCATCACTACATATCAGCATCATCATCATCGCAGCCCGGAAGACGACCACTGCTTAACATAGGCCTCCCCAAAGATCTCCACGTCATTACATATAGCGAACTATAATGCATATACATGAAATGAAATTATACGTATAGTACATGAAATTAAATATCTGGGATTACTACATTCTTGCCTCTCATAGCAGAACTAAATACATAGGGAAAAGGTTTATTTTTTAATTTAAAAATCTAAGATCTTCCGCTAAAGGGTAGTGTCGTGATATATCATGACATGACGTGTGTTTTCATGACATCTTAGTCTGTAATGGAGCTCATGGGAGTACGAGCAGACGTTGTTCATCGCCTGATGGTAACGGTCACCTATATACATGAAATTTATATAGGTGACCGTCAGGCGATTAACAACGTCTGGTTGTTTATCACTCCAATGACATAAAAATTGTGTCGAAAGATACTTATTGAATAAAATAGGTATATATTTTTTTACTATCATTAAGATTATTGTCAATATGTATTAAAACGAGAATTTAACTAACTAAGAAATATTTTTTTCTCGATCCGTCATATTTGTCGTATCGTTCTACACTCAATAGTTCTCTATACTATTATTATAAAGCTGAAGAGTTTATTTGAACGCGCTAATCTCAGGAAATACTGGTTCGAATTGAAAAAATATTTTTGTGTTGGATAGTCCATCTGTCGAAGAAGGCGTTAAGCTATATAACATTACGCTACGACCAATACGAGCGGAGCTGCAATTAGAAATATTTCAAAAGGTGGGGAAATTAAACGCAGACGAAGTTGCGTTGTCAACTAGTCGTCTCATAAGCTGCTACCAGTCCTGTCAAAGAAGCCGCAACAGTATCTTAAACATAATCGTTCTTAAACGTAACAAAATTAAGATACTGATACAAATGTGGCTATTACGGTGACAAAACAGGTGTCTGGTGCATCAAAGGCGGCAGGATGTAATCATTAGACTGTATACTAACAGCGGTGCCTCACAGAATGGTAACAGTATTCGGTAACAGTCTATATTAGGAGGCTAAGAACTTCTCCGCATACATCTGTTTGTGTTCCAGGGTACCATAGCATAATTGTATAACATAAATTTCCCACATAAGGGCATAGTAAGAGGTTACTCATGGGGATAAGTCTTTTATGACAATAGTATTTCGGTCACGGGATTTTAAATACCTAATTATGTAAAAAAATACTTTTTAAAATGGTCCATTTTAAAAAGTAAGTTTGAGTTTCTTGCCAGTTATTCATAACTAAGTAACTACTTACTGTATGTTATGCGTTATGCATAAGTGATAAAATAGTAAAAGAATGTAAAAACATACTATTTTTATTATATAAATAATTAACCATGGACAATTCACAAGAAATTTGCGTATACATATACTCGTAGTCCTTTTAAATAATCGTATGTTGCTTGTTTTACCTAAATACTTTGCGTATAAAGCATTATTGTTTACTGGAGTTATAAAAATATATTAAATATCTTAATCAGTTAATAATTATACAATGGAAATATTGTTAGTAATGATATCAAGTCAATATCGAGACACGATTCGATTCAGTTCGCAGTTCGGGATATTTCTGTTTAGTTAAGGTCAATCTTACTCGATTCAAGTCAATTCAATCTTGATATTCAATTTCAAGACTTTATGAATTGACTATACATAATTGCAGAATTTGACAGAATAAGAAATATTAATGTAATAAATATTAATCCTTAACTAATATTATAAATGCGAA